GCCAGTGGAGTTATGGTATTTTTAAAGCATGAGCTTCCGAGAGGAACAGAATGTGGATTCAATTCCTCACCCTGTGTGACCTTTACTGGGGAACGGGGCTTCTCTGTGCCTCAGCTGCCTCTCCTGTAAACTTGGGACGATTACAGTACCTACTTCACAGATCTAGCACGTTAATAGAATAAGCACCATTTCAGTGCTAGCAACTGTTACCAGAAAAGAAAAGAGTCCTGGTAGCAAGCATGCAGATATATTCTTAGCTCTCAGCAAAGTAGGTTATGGTATAAAAATACCATTAAATAGTAACTAAACTAGCATCACCTTAATGCACATCTTGCCAGCAATCTCAGCATGTGTGACTTCTTTTTAAACTACCCTACATTAAGGAATCAAGACCAGGAGGACTCTTGCTGGCCTCCTCCGAGCCAGGCCAGAAGGCAGAGGCCCACCCGACTCACCCCTTCCCCACCTGAGACCAGGCACTGGGGACACAGCCGTGAGCAGGGGACCGGACCTCAGTCTCTCTGTCGGTAAGCTGACCAGCACATCAGATGGGGCAAAGTGCCAGGGAGGAGACAAGTGGGGGGAGGGGCAGGGAGGAGCAGGAAGGCAGAAACAAGGGGGTGGGTGGGGGGGCATCCGGGACAGCCTGCTGAGCAGCCCAAGGGAGTGAGCTGTGAGGGATAGGGAAGAAAGAGGGCTTGGCCAAGGCCCCTAAGGCAGGGAGTGCCTGGTGTGCTCCGGGGAGGGAGAAAGCAAATACAATGATCCCTCCTCCTCCATTCCTCTCTTCCTTGGCAACCGGCTCAGAGCTTGGAGGCTCAACAATTGATTTGCTCTGAATTTCCTAAGTTTATCTATTAACTACCTAGCAGACCATTCGCTGGTTCACAGTGCGCCTCTCAGCAGAAGGCATTCGACAGCTGACAGTGATGCCCCCACCAGCAGTCAGGCCACACACGCCGCCTCGGGACACAGCCTGCTCTCTGGTGACTGGGGTACCACTGGATGGAGTCAAGGACATATCAAGGTCATTCTGGGCCTCTCTGAGGTTCAGTGGAAGAGGTGAGAGTGTGGGAGGTGCCCTGGGCTGGAGCTCGGGGCCTTTCTCGCACCTGGGCTTGGGCAAGTTGTCAGCCTTTCCTGAACTTCGGTTCTTTGTCTATAAAATGGGGCTGGGGAGAAGGGCCTTTCTGGACAATTCGAATCAAATAAAATCAAAGGTTTAATGTAATGCACACATTAGGTGTTATTACAACATGGCCCACAAGCCCTAGCTGCCATCTCCCCCAGAAAAGGGCAGGCCCATGAACCCCTGAAATGATATCCAAAACCTCATGGGAGATGCTTTATTCTAGGGAGAACTCCATGTTTGAAAAGAGACAACTCCCCAAAAATGGAAGATTCACGAGGCTGAATATAAAATGTGAGACCTCTTCCTACCCAACAAACGGTTGACACTGACAACCTGCCAACGCGAGAAACAGCAGCACCCAGGGAAAGGGGTGGCCCCAACGCGGCTGTGCAAATGGACACAGCAGGGAGAGTGGCGACACCTGCGGAGACAGAAGACACGCAGACCCTCCTTGGCAGCCCCCACCGCCAGGGACACACCCTATAGAAACTCTCACACCTGCACCCCAGACACACTCAGGGCGCGGGCCGTGACGGTGCTGGCCACCGTGTGCTGGGTGACAGCGGAACACAGGAGACAACCTAGATTTCCATCGGGAGGCGGGCAGACAGGACGCAATGTTCACACTACAGGTCGCCACGCGGCAGCCCGCGATCAAACACATCGACGAGCACAGGTGTCAACAAGACTGTTGAGTGAAACATACAAGTCCAGGTTTTTTTATGTAAAGTTAAGGAAAACACACACACAAAAGAATCCTGTGTATTAGTTATGGATACTTATATCCATGTGTAAATGTACCCAAAAGAGCCTGGGAGGAAAAATACAAGAGCAGTAGTTGGACGAAAACGGGTTACTTAATATTCATTTGTAATACTTCTTATAATATTTTAAAAAAGGACTTAAGGCCAAAATGACAAAAGATTAACCATTTTCAATTCTGGGTAGAAGAGATACTGTGTTCATTTTGTTATCCCTAGTATTTTTCTGGATTTTTAAAGTTTATCCAATATAAAAAATTTAGAACTGCATGGCTGGTTGGGCCATGCCAGGCTGAGGGCTTCCCTGCCTTGCTCTGTAACTGCTCCCAGGTTCCTGCGTCCAGGACAAGGGCCACCAGGCTAGTGTCTCTGAGCCCTGCCAGGCTAAGCAGGGAAGGGCACACATTCCCAGTAGAGCTGGGCAGGGCAAGGCAGGGCCACAGAAAGCGGCTCCTCTTGGCTGGCTGACCCTGCTACCCAGGCCTCTGGGGAAGATTCGGGAGCAGAGACGCAGAAAAGGATGGGGCAAGGGAGGGGAAAGGCCGGTGGCCTCATCACACGTGAGCAGCTTTGGGCCTGAGGCCAAGTCCTTCCCTTGGGCGGGGTGCTCAGTGCCACCTGACTGGGTGCCAGGGGCTGCAGCTTTAAATAAACTTGGACATGTCCACCTGGGGCCAGGAAGCAACACCAACTGTGCCCCGGACAGGCACTGTCAACAACCAGCCAACATGTCCACCAAGAGACCCCAGCGCTGCAAACAGGCTGAGTGCCCACAACTGAGCCCTGGCCTCAGACATCCCCCTTGGGTGCCCTGCTCCGCCTTCCCAGCTCCCTGGCACACCTCTATGGCAGCACAGTTGCACCCCCAAAGGATCGATCCCTTCTCTACCCCAGAGATGCCACAGCAGTGCAGTGACAGGCCCTTGGTGGTCCCCAGGGGCCTGGCACCTAGCAGGGCTCCACAAAGGTGCACTGGGCTGAGCTGCCTGCTCTTGTCCCAGGCCACAGGGCTCCCCCAATGCCAGGCTCCACTCCTCACCCCAAGCTGCATGGCTCCTGGTGCTTTCGCTCCGGAGGCCACACTTGCTCCCTTCCGGTGGCAGCTCATTCTCAGGGGTGGCGGCTCATTCTCAGGCTTGAGAGAGAAGCCCAGTAGTATGAGTCCCACCTGGTCTCCACCTCTGGAGCCACTTCTCTCAGCCTCCCCCAGGCAGCCCCAGAGACCTCCATTCCCCAGTGTGGGTGGCACTGGCCAGGACATCCAGTTGTGCTGGAATAGGAGGCTCGGCGGGGAGCCGGACACCCTGACACTGCTGCTGGACACAAGTTGGCTTGCAGCAAAGGGGAGAAGGAACAGCCAGAGTGAGCTGCAGGCTGAGGACACTGGGGGTACATGGGAAGGTCTTGAAAGCGGCTTCTTCCGAGGAGACCAGGGACACCTGGTGTGAGGGCCTCTATGCTTCTGGGCACAAGCAGAGAGGACGAGAAGAAGGCGCCTGAGGAAAGAGTGACTTCCCACTGCTGCTCTCTTCCTCGGAGAGCCAGGCACATTAACTGCCACCCACCTGCCCCACCAGCAGCCAGGACCCCTCTGGAGGCCAAGAGGACAGATGGGGGTAGATGTGTGATTCTGAGGGGTGGAGACAGGGGAACCAGCCACCCACTTGGGGATCCGCATGAAGGGGGCTGGGCCCACCCCCTCCCTCGAGGTCTCAGCCCTGGGGTGCTCTCCAGATCCATCCACGGAAGTATCCCCAAGCCAGCCTGGCCCCCACCCACCCATCCAGCATGGCTTCTTGCACAGGGCTGGGCTCCACACCAGCAACCCCAACCCGATCCTCTCCACACGTGCAGGGAGAAGTGGGGAATGAACACACCCCCACACTCCTCCAGCTCCACACTCCACAATTATCAATGATCAGCGTCCCTCACCCACCACAAGGTTTAACCAGACACTTATTTAGTAAAGGAAAAAAAGGATCTGCTTCTGGATGTGTAAAAGGAAATCTTGCCAGCACCGCCAGCGCCCCCACCGCCTGCACTGAAGGGACGGAGGTGGATGGGGGAGGACGCAGGAGGATGGGGCTCTAGCCCAGTCAGGCTGAAGATTCAGGAGTTCCGAAGCTAGCCGCGGAGACACCAGGTGCATCCACCTTCATTCTCAGACCGGAGACCCCAGGCCAAACAGGAGGCCCCTGAGGGGCTTCCCCTCTCTGACCCGAGGGACAAAGCCAGGACTGGGGACCCAAAACCAGACCTTCGCCCCACACTGCTCATACTGCTGAGCGGAGAACGGGAGCCACGGCACCTGTTCGCCGTGAGGCCCCAACTTCAAACAAACCTTCGAAGCCCCTTCCCCTTTAGGCCCCCCCTCAACGCTCCAAAATCCAGCCCCAACCCACCTTGATGACCCTGAAATTAGCAACCCAGTCAAGCCCTTAAGTCTTTCCTCGCATCCCCTTGACCTGATCCAGGCTCCCTGACCTGGTACTCCCCCCACCTCCAAATTCCTGTTTCCAGAAGAATCTGGGGAAAAATCCTTCAGAACTCAGATTCCCCAGGGGACCCACAGCAGCGGCTCTTCCACGTCGGCGCCCCCCGGGCGGATGGGGCCACGCGCAGAAGCAGGAGCAAGCAGGTCCCGCCACCCCCGCCGCCCGCCGCTCGGGTGGGGGTGGGGACAGCGCGCCCGTGTCGGGGACGACCCTCTGGGGCCGCAGCCGACCCCTCCCGGCACTCCAGGCCGGGCAGCCACCCCCGCGCGCCCCTCCTCTCTGACCTCCCCGCCGCCAAATGCGTCACGTCTGCCGGGCGCTCCGGGGACACCTGCTGCCGCCCCCGCCGCGCCAAGTCGCGATCCCGGAGCCCCGGCCCGGCAGCAGCGCTGGGCAGAGCTGGGCAGGGCCGCGCGCGCTGAGGTCCGGCAGCTGGGCCCGGGGCCTGTGGCTCGGGGGTCGGGGCCGCGCGGGGCCGTGCGCTTGGGCCCGTAGCCCAGAGGAACCCGCGGCGCGCGGGGCCGCAGTGCGCCCACAGTCGGCGGCGCGGAGGGTCCTGGAGGTCCCGGCCCTCTGGGGTCCCCGGCCCAGCCCGCGCGCCGCGGCTCTTACTTGCCAATATCCTCGTAGAGCTGGTACTCGTCGGTGAAGCGGGTGCAGGTCACCGTGGTGGCCATGGCGGCGGCGGACGGGCTCGGCGTGCGCTCGGCTGCGCTCGGGCGGCGGCGACTCCGGCTCCCGCTCGCGGGCACGGCGGCGACACGGGCGCGGGCGCGGGAGACACCTCGGCTCGCGGCGCCAGGCGGGGGCCGGGCTGGGCTGCGCCGGGCGGCGAGCGCACGCGAGATCTGCTCGCTCCGTCCCCGCCAGGAGCGCGCCGCACACCTACGCGCGGGGAGGCGCGGGCGCCGCTGTCACCGCCGCCGCCGCCGCGCCCGCCCCGCCCGCCGCCCCCTGCACGCGCCTTCCCCGCGCCCTGCACACACTGCTCCTGCACCCGCACCCGCACCCGCACGGCACCCGCGCCCTGCATCTGCACACGCGCCCTGCACACACACCCGTGCCCCGCACCAGCAACGCGCCCGCACCTGCACCTGCACCTGCACAGACGCGCGCCCGCCCCCGCCCGCCCCCGCACCCCGCACACACACCCGCGCCCTGTGCTGATGCCTTCATCCTGTACTCGCACCACTCCCGCACCTCGTGCACGCAGGCCACTTGCTGCTGGTGACCCCTCGCTCTCACGTAACACAGAAGAGTGCACACAATGAACGCAGCCTCCTCTCTCTCCCGAAATCCCACCTCGCCTGACAGCAGGAGGGGACTGGGGCCCACAAGGAGGCCGGGGGCCCACGTGCTGCCCCCCACAGGACTCACTCCTCATACCCTCAGGAAGAGATGCTGCCAGATCCCTCTTGCCCAGTCTCCATCAGCCACACATGCCACAAAGGCTGCCTGGCCAGGAGGAGCCGCCCAGAAGGCCGGAGGTGCGCACTGGGACACTAGCATGAGAAAGTGAAAGGGTGGAGCCTGCCACATCCCCTTGGCCCCAGCCCCTTCCTCCCCCACCACTCTCCAAAGACTGGTTGCTGTGATGTCTGGAATGGAGGTCCCAGGAGGCGACTCGCAGTCCAAGCCAAGGGACCCTGAGCCAGGGAACAGGGGCTGCTCCATCAGCAATTTGGCGGGCCCTGAGAGCTCACAGCCACCCTGCCCAGGTAAGGGAACGCGTTCTTTCCTCTTCCAGCATAGATCACCTGCCTGCTCCCTGCTTTTGCCGAGAGGAAGAGAGCCCACCCACCCAACCCCCTCTTGAAAGTAGCCCTGGAGGCCAAGGAGGCAAGTGCAGGGAGGCAGGCAGGAGGCAGGGCCGACCCGGTTTCCCACAAAACAGCCTTTCCTGAGGGCTGGCACCAGGGCTGCTGTCCAGAGCCGGGACTTCAGACCAGTGGGCTCCAACAGCGCCACACTCTCCTCTGACAGGGTCCGTCCTGGGCAGGCTCTGAGGAGGGGGCTTCCAGCAGCCCGCTGTGGATTTGGGTCATGCTTCTGCTCTGACATGACCTCCTTACTGCTCCCCAAGGACCAGTTCCGGGCCTGTCCTGCTCATCCCTCTCACCTCGTGGCCAGCCCAGGGCAAGCCCCACAAGCCACAATAAATGTTGTGAGGATAAGGGAGGGGACAAAGGGATTCTGAATGCCAGCAGCCAGGGTGCTTCTGGGTCAGGATGCATTTGGCACAGGACTGCTGGGCAATTAGTAGACCACACAGCAACAAGTCCCTGCCATCGACCAGCCTGCACCCAGAAGACAGCTAGAGGATGAGAAATTCTCAGGCCAAAGGTGAGTGCTGGGTCACCTGGGGAAGTCCCCAGCTGAGGAGGCAAAGGGATCCTGGCCTTGACTTCAGCATGACCATAGCAGGAAGGGAGACTCCGTCCATGTCAGACTTGGACTCAGAGAACCCTGAGCCATCCTAACACAGAGAATGGCATGGGCTCGAGGAGGGACTGAAGGCCAAGTCTGAGGTTTGTTCTTGGAGTCGAGTTTAACCCCACAGGAGTTTCTTCTAGCACCTGCTGGAAGCATCCATGCTTTCCCTTTCTGACCTCCGGAAAGACAAAGTAGGGCCACACAATAGATTACAAATAACAAGGCAAGTGCAGTGGCTCACGCCTGTAATCCCAGCACTTTGGGAGGCCGAGATGGGTGAATGACCTGAGGTCAGGAGTTCAAGACCAGCCTGGCCCACATGGTGAAACCTGTCTCTACAAAAAATACAAAAATTAGCCAGACGTGGTGGTGCATGCCTATAATCCCAAACAAGAATCATTTGAACCCAGGAGGCAGAGGTTGCCGTGAGCCGAGATCTCGCCACTGCACTCCAGCCTGGGTGACAGAGCGAGACCCTGTCTCAAGAAAAAAGAATACAAATAAGACAAACAAAAGAAAATTGCACCCCTCTGTAAACCGGACTCTTTCCAGGCTACTATGAAGCCATATGCACTCCTACTGGCATGTCAAGGAGATAAAGTGGTACTAATGACAGCTGACACTGTGCAGTTTACATGTACTATGTCATTTAATTCTGAAACAATCCTATGAAGCATGTACTATTATTATCCCCATTTTACTAGATGAGACAATGGAGAGACAGAGAGGTATAGTAATTTGCCCACAATCACACAGCCACGGAATGACTATGATCAAACCCCAGTGCCCCATAAAACCTCCATTGCCTTCCACAGACACACACACACACACACACACACACCACACACCTACACACAAATGCATGCATACAAACAGACCCACTCACACAGCTTTCTGCAACACTGGGTGTGGACACAGCAGCACACCAGGTGGTCTTTTATGAGGTCACCTTTCTTTTTTTTTTTTTTGAGACGGAGTCTTGCTTTTGTTGCCCAGGCTGGAGTGCAGTGGCGCAGTCTCAGCTCACTGCAACCGCCACCTTCCAGGCTCAAGCAATTCTCCGGCCTCAGCCTCCCAAGTAGCTGGGATTACAGTCACCCACCACCACGCTCTGCTAATTTTTGTATTTTTAGTAAAGTTAGGGTTTCCCTATGTGGGCCAGGCTGGTTTGAACTCCTGACCTCAGGTGATCCACCCACCTTAGCCTCCCAAAGTGCTGGGATTATAGGTGTGAGCCACCATACCCGGCCGAGGTCACCTTTCAAAAGATGAGAAACTGCCCAGAACCAGGGTTACACAAGAATGTGGGAGTCACTAAGAGATGCAATTTGAGATCCATTGTATGCTGTACCTCTCCCTGCCTTTTATACCTGTTAGCACCCAAGACGCCCAGGCAGTCCCTCCTCGGAGCTGAAACATAAGAGGTATCATGTAGAACTACCCTGGCAAGTGCAGGAAGGTGGGCATGACTGGGCACCAGACAGTGGGGAAGGACTGAGCTATAGCAGAGGCAGCCAGACTGTCCCTCCCCAGACAGCTTGACCCCACATTGCCACTCAAAAAATAGCCCACTACCCACCCTCAGACCCAGAGGGCTTCTCCCTAGCAGAAAGAAATGGCTAGAAGGGAGAAAGACTTCCAACCATGACTCTCTGGTCCCAGATTCCAGAAGCCCTCTCATCTGGCTTTAGCTCTGGTCAGAGAGGCCTAGACTTCCCCTTCTCCCCACCCCTACCTTCAGGAAAGGCCTACTTCCACCCCCACCCCCATGTCATCTCCTGTCTCCCACCTTGTCCTTTCTAGCTTGCTTTCGTAAGCAAGGAGGGTTCTCCCTCCCAGGTGGCAGCTGGGGAGGGTGTGGGGAATATCAGTTCTGGGAGGTTATTGTTAGGACAGTCACCATGGCAACAAGCATCACATCTGCAGAACCAAAAGTGCTGCACATGGGGCTCATTCTCCCAAAGAAAGCCACGCCTCCCCTGCCCCCCTCACCTCCAGGGGCTGCTGTCATGTGGGAGGGTGTCACTGCACCTCCTCTCCCAGGCCCAGCCATCTGTCAGGGAGAGCAGGCTGTAGTTCCCAGAACAGGAAGGCCCTAGTCCATCCGTCTCTCATCATCTGGCTCTTGACATGGCAGCCCATACAGGACACAGTGGAGTGGCTGTGGTGGTGATGGTGATGATAATGGTTATCATTGGTGGTGGTGGTGATGATGGTGGTGGTGGTGATGATGGTGGTGGTGGTGATGATGGTGGTGGTGATGATGATGGTAATGGTGGTACTGGTGGTGGTGGTAGTGATGGTGGTAGTGATAAGCATGGTGGTGATGGTGGTAATGGTGGTGGTGATTATGATGGTGGTGATGAGGGCGATGGTAGTGATAGTGATGATGGTGGTGATGGTGATGGTGGTGGTGATAGTCATGGTGGTGATGATGGTGGTGGTGATAATGATAGTGTTGGTGATGATGATGGTGGAGGTGATAGTCATGGTGGTGATGATGGTGGTGGTGATAGTGATGGTGGTGATGATGATGATGATGGTGATAGAGTGATGGTGGTGATGATGATGATG